AGTCTTATATGGGAATAGCTTTCGTCGTTGAATTCGATGTGAGCACTACAGTTTGTTCTTTCGTGTCTTGTAGTGAGAGATTGTGTGCAGTGACATCCATGATGAGTTCTAATGATTTTGAACGAACGACTAACACCAGATACCACAATTATATTGCTTGCAGCCCACATGGCATGACGTTCAATTGTGTGAACATGTACGAGATAAAGTATATTCTTATCTGTGTACACATCATAGCTGCGTTACAAGTGTGTCATGCAAAATGAATTATCTGGTTCCCACCCATCAGTTATGTGGTGACACTCTGTGAAGCCTCGCGAACATCGTACTTGAATGCTTCGACTTTGGCTTTGCTATACAAGCTTTTCCGGATTCTTGTAATTGATCTGAATAACTGTCGCTAGCAGGTATTCCGCAGTCCTTACAGTATTTACGCATCTTATCTGTACCCCACAGATGAGGTTTAGGACTAATATAAACAACGTGTCAGCGCCTATACACCAGAGAGAAAGATCTCTACTAAGATTTTTGCATGGTTTGACTGGGCTTCGTGTTTATACTCGCACGACACATTGTGTTCAGATGTGCATTGATGTAATGATGTCGTGGTACCTCTAAGATCGGTTGTGTCGGTTGAGGGGAATGTTTGTGGAGCGGTTGCAAAGCGATTGCAAACTCTGTGAACAGTTCAGGCTCTCAAGAATTCCCCAACATCCTCGCCTGACTTAGGAGGACTATGGGCAGCTAGGAGAAGTCATTAGTACTCTCAAAAACTTCACGACGGTCGACGAGGTAAAGGTTGTCGGGAGTAAACGGGGAGCGCTAACCCGATGTGAGCTCCCGCACGGACTCTTGGCGGCTAATCAACCCTTCAGCGAGTTTTTGCATCCACCTCCTCCATCCTCCTCCCACCACTCCCCATCCATTGAAGGACCAATTCATCTCCAACTCATCTCCACTCCGACCGTCAATACCATCACCATGGTTGCCATCGCTCGCTCCTTCGGCGCCGCCCGCGTGGCCGCCCGTGGCTTCTCCAACGCTGGTATGTCTCGCGCCTGCCGCAGCAGCTTAAGCCATTGGGTTTGAGCTCTGCAAGCTCATCAAGCAGCCATTGACCATCATCTTGCAGCCCGCGCTCCCCAGCAGAACACCCTCGTCGCTGCCCGCAGCGCCTTCCGCAACAACGCCGCCCGCAACGTCATCCAGAAGCGTGGCATCGTCGCCGAGTCCACCGCTGCCGCCATGGTCGCTGCCGCCAAGATCCAGGGTGCCGGTCTCGCTACCATCGGTCTTGCCGGTGCCGGTGTCGGTATCGGAACGGTTTTCGGTGGTCTCATCCAGGGTGTTGCCCGCAACCCTTCCCTCAGGGGTCAGCTCTTCCAGTACGCCGTTCTCGGTTTCGCCTTCGCTGAGGCCACTGGTCTTTTCGCGCTCATGATGTCCTTCTTGCTCCTCTACGTCGCATAGATGTGTGCATTGCATGGACTGCCGGACATTTGGGGTCAACGGTATGGGGGTGCCGCAAGGTGGAAAACTTTTCTTGCGGATGGGTGTGTGCATAGGGACGACTACTACCTCTTTTCCTACTCTAGTGGCCGGTCAGATTGTGTAAAACATGTACTTTAGACGAGCAATCTGAAGAGCAAGCTACCACCACGGCTCGCTTTCCTTACCCAGGTATATGTGCGGAAGCTGTAGCTATGGTAATGACATGTGCGGATGACTGACGTTGAACTCAATGGACTCGAATGGACCCTCAGAACCAATGCCGACGCTTGTCAATACCCGTGCCACGTTCCGTGATGAGCTACTGCTGTTCGAGCTGTCCGATATTGAGACTTGGTCATGCCAAGCTTTCGCTCGAGCTCGCTCGCAAGCCCATGGGTGCTCAATGCTGCCCACCCCACTACAATGTCGAAGTTCGACTTGAGCTTGTTAACTACTTAGACTGGATAGTCCATCTCATCCCGCCGCAGGTGGACAGCGCAATGGTCTACCCCAGAACCCCGCGATTTCGAGGCTGCCTCGGTACGACCCGCTACCGCGAGCGCAAGCTGGAGAATGAACAGGCGACAAAGAAGCCTTGACTCTGGAACTCAGTCAAGGCAGGTTGCGTCTTGTACCTGGATATCTAGGAGCCCATATCGTGTGGGTGAGATGGTAACCGTATTCCCATTGTTATTGTTTGACAACCCGCGGCACAATAGAGGCCACGGGCACCAGGTACGAGCTTAGCAACATTACTTTGAAGTACCAAGCTGACTGTCAATTGATAGACAGCAGTACGCAGTCAATACTGCTTGTACCTCTGTGAATTGAAAGCGATCCCAGCCTCCGCGAACTCCGCACGTCACTACGACCCTCATCCGATCGAAACCCGCGCGTAATACACTATCCCATATGAGAAGGAATGATGGAGACTATGAGACTTTTAAGGGCCGCGTCTATAGCGATCATCTAGGCACGACGATGCTGTGGCTAACCGGGAGCAGACCAGCACGCAGCGTCGCATTGCAAAGTCCGCGCGGCGCACGTCTCCAGAGCCTCCGCGTTTGGTCCCAGATCGACGTGATACCTGCTACGGTCACAGAAGAAGCAAGAGCTGCTGCGCAAGTCGTATAGAGATACCGAGGCTGCGTTGTTTCAGATCTGCGTCTGGGTAGATGGTGAGGCTGTTTTCGAAACACGATACGTGAACGCTCCAACCCGCCTCCCAGGACCGGACATCGGAAACCAAACAACCACACTCTTCCTTGCTGACTGCGGAACATGCAATGCATTCGAATACTGCAATGGTGCATCTTCATACTCGGCTCGTACCAAGACCGTGAAACTAGGTAAGGTGGGTTTCGTGAGAAGCTTCCACATCTGACGCGGCGAAGCTTAGATGTTTGGCTGTGCGGGTATCACCTCTCCGGACTGTGGTATTTAGAGCTCGATGTCTTCTTGAGTTGATTTGAGCAAATAACATCCTATCAGTACTATCATCTTGTAATATCTGTGCCGGTCACTTCTATTCCATTTCAACTACTCTCACTACCAATACTTCCGAAACTCCAATCAGCAAACATGCGTTACACAGCCTTTGTCGCCGTTGCTGCTTTCTCCAGCGCCGTCTTCGCTACCGGTAGGTTTTGATAAGCATGAAGAAGTATGCTTCATTGGACACCCATCTAACACATCCCAGCCAGCCCCCAAGACGACGTTGCCTCCATCCTCGAGGCTCTCCGCACGAACAACCCCGAAGATGCCGATGCCGCCGCCTCAGCCATGAAGGTCAAGCTCCGCCGTCAGGACGACGTGAGCTCCATCCTCGCCGCGCTCGAGGCCAACAACCCCGACGATGCCGCCGCAGCCAAGCAGGCCATGTCCTCTACATCCACCACCAAGCGTCAGGACGACGTATCCCACTGCCTCGACAACCTCGCGCAGGTCGACCCCGCGGCCGCAGCAGCAGCCCGCCGCGACATCAAGAGCCGCAGCATCGACGTCCGCGACATGGAGAAGCGTCAAGACGACGTCGCCTCCATCCTTGCCGCCCTCGCGCAGAACAACCCCGATGACGCCGCGGCCGCTGCTCCCGCTATGAGCTCCACCCCCAAATCAGTCACCAAGCGCCAGGACGTGTCCCACTGCCTCGATGATCTCGCCGCAGTCGACCCCCAGGCCGCTGCGGCTGCCCGTCGCGATATCGAGACCCGCGACGTCGAGAAGCGCCAGGACGTCGATGCAGCACACTGCCTTGATGCGCTTGCAGAGGTTGACCCTGAGGCTGCTGCTGCTGCGCGCCGCGATATCGAGAAGCGTCAGGATGATGTTGCGTCTATTCTTTCGGCGCTAGCTCAGAATAACCCTGATGATGCGAAGGCGGCGCAGACGCTTGGTAAGCGATGGGTTGCGTAGACGGAAATGTGAGAGATGAAGATGTAGTGTATTGAGCTTTTAGGTTCTTGTGGTCCGGATCGGAATGTAATGGCTGAGTTGTATATAGTGTAGTGCTGTTTATGGATTTGTACATGATAGGGATAACTAGGGCACGGTTCTAACTAATGCACTCGTTTGGCCTGATGTATCCGTCCGTGTGTTTCGAGTAGTTGTTGAAGATGAACTACCTGTCTAGACTTATTTGATTCAGTGTGTTTATGCCGGTACTGCATTCTCTTGAACGTTGTCTCCACGCCACAAAGTCGTTGTTCTACCAAAGTCGACCTGCCCCTCTACTACCCCGCATCACAACAAAGACACCAAACATCACCGAATCCTTCCCTTCATGCCTACGGCACGGCTCCTGTGCTGTTCTGCCGGTTATATAAATGTTCTATCTCCAAAATTTGTCCAGTTTCTCCATCAGACACGATGGCCGAGTGGTCTAAGGCGGTAGATTTAAGCCCTGCTTGGATCTCTACTACAGAAATGTGCGTGGGTTCGAACCCCACTCGTGTCAAACTGCTTGTTTTGCTCTTTTTGCCATTTTTTGCGTTCGAAAATGATGTGGGAGTATCTTTCTGGCGGTGTTGGGGTGAAATGGCAACCATGAGCGTCCGGAGCGATGGCGGGGTATACTCGCAGACCCCGCTTGTGTTGAAACCAACACTTTGCTTTTTTGCATTCCTTTGCGCGTCTCAAAGTTTCTGATTGAACTACCTCTTTCTGTGGAAAGCCACTAGGGCATTGACCTGCGACTTTGAAGATTCACAGACATAGCTCTCGAAGAGCAAATAATGTTAAAACACATCTACAATTGTTGTATGCTTCACGAAGAATAGTAGTACTATATGCCATTTAGGAAGTGATGTAGGCCAAAGACTGGTTTATGCCTGCTCAGGTGGCGTAGAGCAAGGTACGCATGCATTCCAACACGTTGTTGAGATCTCAAAGTAGAGATAGCCCCAATGTTGTATCAAAGCTATCTAACAGCTTCCCATGAAATACCTCAAGTCCTCGAGGAAGAAGAACATTGCTAGATAAATGCACCAAGCAAACACATCCCAATCGTTCTAGTCCTGTTCTGTGTCTTCATCCCGCTCTTGGAGCTCCTCTTTCTTCTTCCGTCGCCTACAGCCTTCCTCCTCAATCATCTCCATTAGTCTCCGCGGCAAACCCGCATATGGGCACCCATCTCCCAATATCTCCGCACTAGTGTCCAGAAACCTCTGCCTAAAGAACCACCATAACGCCCCATCAGCACTCTCAGTGCCGTCCGGTCGTGGGTAGAAAGGATCGTTTCTCATGAACGCTGCGCACGCCTGCTTCAGCCCAGCTTCGTCCATAGACATGTGCCTCACACAGTCAAAGTCCAGAATCCACATGACGTGTTCGCCGAGATAGTGTGATGGGAATGATGACGATGATGAGGCTCGCGGAGGTGCAAGCACGAACTCGACGTCATTGGCATCGACTTTGGCGCCCCAGTGCATCACAGCAAGCGCATCCGCCATAGTCTGCGCGTAGGCGACGTAATCAAGGCCGAGGTCTTCCATCTGATTGATGTGTAATGGAACGTTCCTGAGACTGAACCGCTGGAAGCGCGATGTGTTTGTTGCTTCGCGCTCTCTTCGTCGCCCCAAGTAGGGACGAATAAGACAACAGTCGTCGTCTTCATTCCCTTTCACAAAAGCCGAGAGTGGCGTGTTGCCTGCGCAGAACAGGTCTACGATCTTGTCGCTGATAGATCGAGGTATCTTAGGGATTCGTTCCGATATGAGCGCTCTGCACTCTGTGAAGCCGGCAGGGAAGCGGTGGAGATTTTCAATCCACCACATGTTGTTTGAGTATATTAACGACTGACATTGCGGTATGGCTAGAGGCATGGAAGGACGATGTTTGTTTGCGCACCGAATGATTTGCAGATGCATGTTGTAGTCGTTAGTGACGGATCGTCCGGGTCCTCCATCTTCGCGTTTGATGGCATGATTCGTGCCATCTTCAGCAGCCCAGACGCTGCCGCAAAATCCCTTGCCGATGCAGCGGTAGGGGTTGTTGGTGTTTGGCATGATGAAGTCGTTATTTCAGGAACAGGGTTTGTGCAGAACTGAATGAATTTGTAAGAGCGGCTCTGTGATTAAGTTCAGTGTTGAAATGTAGTAAGTCATGAAATCGAAAAGAATAAAATGTAGGTTTGACTCAGACCAGTACCATGGTTAGAAGAAAGGCGCATCCACTCCTTCAATGAGTCGTGTGACATCGTTAATGACAACTCTCTAATACAAGATGCACAGCCTGAGCAGATGTATTTCAGGCAAATCGTACATTTACCACAAGGCTGTGGAGATGCGCCTCAGGGTGTGGCCGTGCCGTTGGCGTTGTTGCCTAACGAGATAACCGTGCCGTAGGTGGCCTAAGCTTGGTATGCAAGCAGCATATATCAACAACAAAGACACCGCAATCTCGTTCAAAGTCTGCATTGACTTCGAGAGAGTTCATCAACCATTCCCGCACTGCATATTCCCGACTGAAACCATGGGTCAAGAACAGTCTCAGCCGTCAGCATCGCAGCGACCTCCAGAGCCGCAGCTTAGCGAGGAAGAGCGCGCACAGCTCCAAGCTGAGGTATGGTCTTAGTGTTCGACCATACACGCAATGCTGACAAGCTCAAAGATGCGCGCAAACCAGCAGGCGGCCCTGGATAAGCGTCTTAACCAACCAAGGAAGTCGTCGCCCGCAGGCGCTCAATCAACAAGGAAGCCAACTGCCCTGGAGGAAGCAAGCAGGGAGAACATCGGGTGGCGCAACGCCGATGCGCAGGCGGAGTTCAGGAACTGGAACTGATGTGGGTGGACACGATGCTTGTGTCTTGTAGCTGAGCCGGCGCGAAATGTGGTAATCTGGATTGAAGGCGTTCAGACGTTCCACGAACAGGGATGCGGTTTGTCTCTCGGAGTCCGGCGTATTGGAGTCTACAACCGATATTTGACAACGTCATTTTCTTCTCATTTTAATTCTTTCGCGTCTTGATTCGGTGATGGAAAGCACAAAGCAGGTGTTTGGTGCTGTGCCTCAGCAAGCTGAAATGAAAGCAAGGGGCCAAACGGACATCCGCGGGGAAATGCCCACGCCAGTCGCTCGCTAGCGGCTTACATAACCGATGATCTTCCGCCGCCCAGCCCAAATCACCTGCATCGTACATCTCAATTGCACTCATATACCCATCTCGCTGTCGCCACTATGCCAGAACAGCGCGTCGCAAAGCGCAAGACTCACACCAAGTCGCGAAAAGGATGCTTCCAATGCAAGCAGAGACATACTAAAGTAGGTGTTTACCTTCGATACAGCTTCCGTCTTTTCCAGCCAATCACCGTGTGCTGTGCGATTTTCTGTACCTACCCGGCGAATAGTGCTCAAGTGCTATAAGCATCCGAAGCTATGGCTCTTCTGCAGTGATCCGTGTCGTCGCTTACCATGTCGTACAGTGCAATGAAGCGCGCCCGCGCTGTGGGAACTGTGTTCGCCTGGATATCCATTGCCATTTCCCTGCAATACCGGATAGCTACTCGACCTCCCCACAACACAGTCCAGGAGTGTCCTCGCCCTTTGTGGATACAAATCATGCTGAAAGTCCCGAAGCAAGTCCCGCCAGTTCCGAGCTACCACTCGCAGACCTCCGTCTGCTGCATCATTGGACAAAGGCGTGCGCCAAGTCTTTGCATCCAAATCCCGCAACTAGAAGTGTCGTCTGGCAGGTAAGACTGGTCTACTCCGATAGACTATGTGGAATCGCTGAACTGACCGTGCCGCTCCGCAGAATGAGTTCATCGAACTAGGCTTCGACTACCCTTTCCTTCTTCGTGGTTTTCTCGCCCTTTCGGCAGTCCATCAAGCATCCTTGCTTCCGCCCAACGAGCGGCAGAGCCTTTTGCTCCAGGCAGATTCCCACATCAGTCGAGCCTTGGACACTTATCGAAAGAATTTGGAGACGCCGAACGTTGAGCTGGCAATTCCGATGTTCATGCTGTCTTCGATAATCTTGACTTACAACTTCGGTTCGGCGCAGCTTGAACGCCCCGAGGATCCTATTCGCGCTCTCCACCACTGCTTCATGTTATTGCAAGGCATCAAGGTTGTGGTGATACCTCACTGGGACCAAATCAAAGACAGCTCGGTGTTTGCTCATATGACAGATATGGCGTCTCCGGAAGCGCTAGATGCGTTGGACACGCTCGCAAGGGAGGAGAATCCTCAAGAGATTCTTCGACTGAAGGAACTTACGGAACTCCTACTGGATAGCCAAGACAAGGAGGCCTGCGCTACAGCTATCGACGCACTCAACGCTACCTGGCTCCGGTTTCGGCACATATCACCCGATCGCGACGAGTACTCCCTTCTCTTTCTTTGGCCTGCGAGGTTGGAGACCCATTTCTTCGATCTCCTCGCAGCTCACAACCCTGTGACATGCATTATCACAACCCATTTTGCAGCAATGTTGGCCCAATGTCGCCCGGTATGGTGGGTGGTAAAGTGGCCCCAATGGCTTCTTGCTGCCTGCGAACATCTGCTAGCAGCGACACCAGATCTTCTAAAATGGCTCGACTGGCCGCAACAGATCATTCATGCTCAAGCCGGGAGCGCAACGACCACTCCGACAGCCTCTTGAGGATCTGAGTTACACCGATTTGTATCCATTCTGGTGTCGCAGCCAATAACTCGTTATATCCTATCGCGGGGAGTGAACCTGACCGGGTGTCCTTATGCTTTGGCAAACCATCTCTTGGCGCATCCTAAAGTCGTGGGTTGTTTTGGCGAAGTCTTTTCGCAATGATCACTAATCTGGGACCAAGTAAATGGCGAAGCTTGCGAAGCTCGCGAGAGGCTGTGCAATTCGCACAATCTCAACGAGGCACTGCAGTTGTTGATACGCCGTATTGGACGGGGTGCCGCACGATTTAACCCCCAAATCGTCCCACTAGTGCGGCAGAAGCCATACGGCCGATACGGGGCCCGCAAAAAAACGTCTCGGCTCGGCAAGCGCTCTTGGCAGCGTATTTCGCATCACGTATTCCGTACAGCCAGAACGCGAACGCATCCTTAGCTTGACGGCTTGGCCGAGGAGCGATACGCAACTGTTGTTAAAACGTTCGAGAAGCCCACTTCGAGAATGACCACACCTGCATTCGAGGACGCATTACCTGCGTTCGTCTTCAACTCAACTCAACATGTCCGACACCGAACCATATCGCCCAGCGCTTGACGACCCAACCGCCTACGTTCTATACCGATACATCCCAAACCGGATAGCGGCGATCATATTCGTCGTCGCATTCGGTCTTACCACCTTTCTGCACATCTACCAATTCATCAGGAGAAAGACGTGGTACTTCGCACCACTAGTGATTGGAGGTCTATGTAAGATTGTATAGCCATCCTTCGCGATGGTGTTGCTGACATGATGCAGTCGAGGTTATAGGTTACATCGGACGCTACCTCTCACACGACGATGTCTGGGCACTCGGTCCCTTCATTATGCAGTCGCTGCTCATCTTACTTGCCCCGGCACTATTCGCAGCCTCCATCTACATCATACTGGGTCGGATAATCCTCTTAGTCGACGGAGAGCGCTACTCGCTAATTAGCCACAAGTGGCTTACGAAGACGTTCGTAGCAGGAGATGTGTTCAGCTTTATGTTGCAAGCCGCAGGTACGTTACCACTCTAACGCAGCTTCCGGGACTATGGCTAAATATCAGTATAGGTGGTGGCATCCAAGCAATGGGCACGCTAGACGCCCTGCACACCGGTGAAAAGATCATCATCGGTGGTCTGTTCGTCCAACTACTCTTTTTCGGCTTTTTCATCGTCGTCTCCGCGGTTTTTCACTACCGTGTCTCCAGAGACCTTCCCCTAAAGAGGCGCTACAGCCCCTTCTCGTGCTTCAAGTCTCGACAATCTCATGAGATCGTACAAACATGGACCGCCGTATCCCGAGCGAGTCTTGACGAACTACCCTGGAAGCGCCACCTCTTCAACTTATACTTCGCAAGCGCGCTCATCATGGTTCGAAGCATCTTCCGTGTCGTGGAATACCTCGGAGGAAATGCAGGGTATCTCCTCAGTCACGAAGTGTACCTGTACATCTTCGATGCACTGCTGATGTTCTTTGTCATGGTTTCTTTCAACTGGACCCATCCAAGTCAGGTCACGGACGCACACCAGAAGAGACTGCGAGCCGGTTCGCCTATGGAGCTTCAACATTCTCGCGATATGTCAACGGGCGCGGACGAAGAGCAAATGATGGGTCATAGTGAGGCTAAGAATGGTGTAAGGACTGGTGGCAGGAGGGATTCAAGGAGCCATGGCAGGACTGGATCGAGACGTTCAAGCAGGCATGCTTCTGGGCGTTGAGACCGCAGGGGTGGATCTATTGATTATGACACTAAGAGGAGGACTTCATCCGCATTTGACAACAGGAGGATGGAAACTAATGACGAACCTGCAAGAAGTACGCGACAAGCTGTGCGCCAGCACGTCCCCTATGGGTAGGGACGCGGAACAGCGAGGTTTTCCAAAAGGGAAGCTTGAGCGACATGCGTCGGTAGCAAGTGTCATGTGGAAGGCAATGACGTCATTTTATTTTGGGAGCAAGAACTTCCGACTTCACTAGGAAGTCACATCCGATTAGATAGCATCAGTTAGTGGGAACAAGTCACCTCAGAGAGATGAAAGAAGCATCTGTAATTTCATCTACATGCTTAATGCAATGCACACGATGAAAGATTCCACCCCTTCATGTCGGTACTTTTTTCCTCTTCGCACTCCAGAGAAAGGGTATG